GAAATGGATTAAAGTCATGTAACCTGGACAAAACTCCAGGTTTAATTCCACACCAGTGGCTGAAGCACTGAGGAGTTTCCAGGTTACAAACACTGGGAGCAGAGACATGCACATTTAGCAGGGCAGGGCTGGAGGCTGCCCATGCAGGACCAGCTCCATGTGCCCCCCTGCCCCTCTCCTGCAGGCTGGGCACTGCATGCCAGGAATGCTGCTCTGACTCTCCCTTCCCATCCCTCCTCCCTTTCACCCCCACACACATCCTGATATTATTGGCAAGCTGTTAAGTACAGAAACTCCAGGGCTGATAACGCTGCAAACCTCATTTTGGGCATGTCAGTCTTTTTTAATGGTTTTACCTGCGCAAAAGGGAGCAATGATGAGCCCTGTCAGCAAGGCAGGGAAAAGCAGGGTGGTAGGGAAATCTCTGGATTAAATCCTCACTGGTGGGAGGATGCTGGTACAGCCCATTTAGTTGCCTTGAATGTGCCTGGAGGCAGCACCGACCTGAGCTAATCCCAGTGCTGAGCTTCATTCCCCTCATCACACTGTCTGCACTTAGAGATGGGCAAAATCATACGACCATGGAATGGTTTGGCTTTGAAAGGACCTTAAAGATCATCTCATTCCAAACCCCCTGCCACGGGCAGGGACATTGTCCACTAGACCAGGTTGCTCAGAGCCCCATCCAGCCTGGTCTTGAACACTTCACTCCCAGGGATGGAGCATCCACAGCTTCTCTGGGCAACCTGTTCCAAAAAACCGGACACGGGATGGCCGTGAAGGCCATTCAACAGGGTGCCTGTGGACAACCTGGGCCTGACACCCACTCAGCACTGGATCTCAACTGATCACTTATTCTTCCCAAAGAGGTCCTGCCTTGGCCCCCAGGATGGGGAAAACACAACCATCCCAGTCTCCCTCCCTCCACAGCCCGGCCAAAGCACTGCCACCATTCCCACGAGAGAAAGCCTCCTCTGGCAATCAGGATTCACCCTCCTCCCCCCCATTTGCAAATGTTTTTAAATCTATGTTATTAACTGTAGTGCCCTCTGAAGAGAGTCACTGAGAGGTTCAGTTCATATATAAAGGATTTACTTAGATTAAGGGCCTCCATAAAGGCCTTTGAACATGGAAACTCCTTCCCATTCTCAGCTGGCCTTGCTGTGCACACATTAAAAATGCATGCAGGCAGCATGAGCCAATATTCCTTAACCTCCTGCTTTGCTTGCAAAACTCAGCTTCCAGAAAAAACATATATCTCAGGGAGATGAATAAACACATGTCCCCTCTGCTCAGAGCTCACATTCAGCCCCTGGAGCCTGCCAGCACCAGGTGGATGATGGTCAGAGCCCAGAGGACATCAGGATGTGCCACAGGCAAAGGAGAACGGTCATGGCTGTGGCAGGAAAGTCTTAAGAGAAAAAAAAAAGCTCTAAGAAAATATGAATAATCCTGGTTTATTGGGACCTGCAACAAGAAGTCTTGTTGTCCTCCAGAGAGCTGACTTTGATTGAGAAAACTTGGAAAGGGAATGAGAACTCATGCTCCAAAGCACAGGAGAAGCTTCACGCAACATCCCTGCACAACCATGCTGCTACAAAATCCTCCAGGCTGCCTTGGAAGCACTTAGTGCCAGTCACTGTGGGAATGGGGTAATGGAATTAATGGGTGCAAGTCGGGTCTGCAGTGGAAAATCCTGGCTGTAAAACAAAGGCTCCTTGTTCAGGGACAGCCACGGATGGGCACAGTGGTAACTTCGCCCTGAAACTGCTGACAGTCCTCCAGATAGATGGAGGAAAGGATGTGAAACAATAATAAGTTAAAAAATCTCCTCTCCCTAGTTGATGGGCAATGCTACACGAGGATCTGTTCTTTGTCCCCAGGTACAGCCCTGTAAGACAACAGAGGGATGAAAATCCCAGGAAAAAGTTCCTATCCCTTTACCACAGAGCCTGTGCTCCCAAATGAGATTGAGAGGGCTGCCTGTCCCCTGATGAGCAGGAAGGAGTCAGTCCCATTAGCCAGGTGAACAAAGACATTTCTCACCTCCCCATTTCTGAGAGGGGAAAAATCAAACATCAAAAACTAAGGGAGTTGCCCAGGGAGTTGTACAGCACCCAGAGCAGAGCCAGCATCCAAATGCAGTTCCATTCATCTGCTTTCCCTTCAGTGCATGTCTTTATCCATAAAACCATCTTTCATCTGAATGTGAACACCTTAAATTAACGAGAGAAAATGTGCCTTTTCCTAGGGAGGCATCAATGAGCCTCTTATCATCAAGAACATGTTATGGGCACCACCCCAAAAATCACCCAGCACAGTGGTGGGGTCCTTGCAACGAAACACTTCTTTAACCAGTGAGGAAACATCATCTGGGCTGTTTGCACAAATCTGATTTTGCATCATTTGAGCCCATCCCCTGCCAGGAGGTGAGTCAGGGATGCCCCATGCTGGAGGGTGATGCTGGAGGGTGGAAGCAGCCCCTGGGATGGGGACAGGGCAGGGGCTGTAGCTACAGCTGCTGTGGATTAAGCACAGCCTTAACAGGGCACTGCAAACAAAACATTGCATTCAACATCTTTTTTTGCCATGTTTTGCTGCTTGTAGCTTGTTTCTTGGAAGAAACACTCTGTCATCTCAACAGAGCTATCCTGATAGCTATCTGGTGTACTCCATGAAACAGGATTTTTCTGGCAAGGTTCATGTAGCTAGAAATTATTAAGGCAGAAAGACTAATTTTGTTTCACTGAGTACCATACAAGATTGATTTTTACTTTTCTACATGCCATGAAACTTATTTAAGGACAAGTAATAGGCTTTAGGATTTCTTTCACTCTCAATTTGCGTGATCCTGACTGTTAGACCCTAAAATAGGGGCTGGAGCAGAGCCACATTCATGCTATGAGACTGACGACCATACAATCCACACACCAGCCTAATTTCACTGTATTTACCACGTTTTTGAGCACAGTGCCTAAGCCAACAAGACTCTTCTTATTTATTTCAATGGCAGCATCTCCACTGGGAGAGGGAAGAGTACAGACCCCAATCATCAGTGGGGACCCCAATGAGCTGAGGGGCAGCAGTGGCTGATGTGAGCAGCCCCTTCAGGGAGCCAGAGCCGCTGCTGGTTCCCACAAGATTAGATTAATTCATCTGAGATTAGTTTCTATCACTGAGGGCTTTGTGATGGTGTAGCAAGAAATCATCTAATTTAAAGGAAAAAACACGTAGCGACGGACAAAGCGAGGGCGCTCTGACCACAGGGGACAGTGAGGTGGGAGGGGACACCCCACAAGGGTATTTTTGTAGAACTACAGAATTCAATTCTAGTCTAGTCTAGTCTATTTTCCAGCTAATGGAGTGACAGCATTTTCTGTTCCTGCAGAGCTGGCAATGGGGAGGAGAGGCAGGGTTAATATGCAGGAAAACAGAGTTAGAAGCAGAGGCTCGCTAAGCTCTGTGCTATTCTTGTGTAATTATGGTGCCAAAGGCTTCCAAGATAAAGGATTTTAGTGGGAACTGTAACTGCTGGTTGTAAAATGCATGAGAAGAAGCCACATATCCACCGGAATAGCAAAGCCTCCCTTGTCCCTGGATCCCAGCTATTGCCCAGCCCTCAACAGAACTAACAGGGACTCAGCCAAAGCCTTCCCACGGAACACAGCTCATTCATCCTCTGAGGCAACTCCAGGACCTCCCTCCCTTCCTAGGGAAGGGCTTTTCCAGGGATTACACCCTGCAACCCCTTCCAGTGATGCCCCAGGACTTAAAACCAGCCCTTGCCAGGGCACAGCAGCTTGTGCACCTGGGTTCCCCATTGCTCCCTGCCTCCAAACGCCTTGGATGTTCTTTTCCCTCAAAACAATAATCACTGCAGGCTTCTCCAGGACTCAGGCAATGTAGTCCTTAACTTACAGCACATCTTTGTTCCTCAAAGCCTCGCCCCCTGAATCTCCCCCCCTGTCCTGCTGGGATCTGTCGGGTTTGTGTTCAGCAGATGGGAAAGCACCGAGTCGGTTTTACACGTGAAAAGCTGTTCCCCCTCCAGCAATATCAGTGCAGCTAAGGCAGGGAAAATATGTTCTAACAGTGGAAATCATGGCAGGGGGTGGTGGGCATGGGTGGCAGGGCTGGCAGTGAAGCAGGGACCCCATCCAGGCTGCATTCCCTGCATCCTGGCTGTGCCTGGCCCTGCAGACTGTGCCATGCTACCCCCAACCAGAAGAGCAGCAAGACACATGCTGTGGAGAAAAGCAAATGTGTTCTATAGCTGGGGATGAAAACACACACACATTCCCCTACAAAAAAGGAGAGAAGGTACTTTAGGCTGAGAACTCATCCCAGTTATAGCTGTGTCCTAATGAGATGTTGCCAGATTAATAATACAAATGCACACTAACAAGAAAACCAATTGCAAACCAATTTTGCAGGGAGCTGAACAAAGAGCAGGATAACAGCTCTGCTTAATAGGGCTGTCTGCTCCTTTTAATTCCTTCTCCATTGCTCCTTCAATGAGCAGAGGAGGAGCAGCCAGCCCACCCCGGGTGCCAGGGCAGGGGACCCATACCCCCCTCACCCCCTCAGCAATGTTGTCTCTGACAAACTCAGAGGGAATTTTCCAGCTGTTAGGGACAGAAAAGCCACCTGAGCTCTTCTGCACAGGAGCAGGTGACAGTGGGGACAAGGGGTGATACCACAGCTCATGGGCACTGCTGGCTTTCCTGGGATCCCTCAGCTGCACAGTGAACCTGAGCAAAACCCCCAAGGGACATTAAACCCGCCCCTGCTGCCCTCCCCAGGAAGAACAGTGTACACAATTCATCACATTTTCACTTATTTTATCTGAGACTATTCCCAAGCAGCCCATAAGCTGCTTTTACAAGTACCCAGCCTTCATCCCAAAGGCACCCTTGATGTCTGTTTAACCCTACTAAGTGTAGCTTCTAATGAGTCTGATGTGATTAAATACTAGGAATATCATATTGAAAGGATCTTACCTAATTCCTTTGGTTTGAGCAATACTGTGGAAGGAGAGCCTGGATACTGCAGAGATCACCTGGAAATGAGAGAAAAAGATGCTGGTGTGCTTACTGAGGACAGAGGAAGGTTTGGTGAGGACCCACACACAGCCTGGTGTTTGGACCTGGGCCACTGAAATGGATGTGCTCCAGTCCCCCCATCAGTGTCCCAGTGTCACCATCAGGGCTGGGAGGACACTGTCAGTGCAAACACTGCTTTTGGTTCTACCACTGAGCACAAAAGACATTTAACCCTCAGCTATAATCATTCAAGAGCATCATCCGAGGAAACTGCATCCCACACACATTTAATATGTCCAAACCTGCCCTGATAGGTTTTATGCAACACTGAGAACCACTGAAAAAACCCTCTTACTTTGTATTTTATCACAAAAGGATTATAACTCCTTTCATGTCTCTCCCCACACAAAGATGATCTTATTGAGGCAGACTTGCCAAGACTGAATGGTTTTGACTTCTTGCAATTCAATAAAGATGCATCATCGGTTTGTCAGAGGTGAGTGCAGACCGTCGCCCTTTTCTGGCAGAAAACAGCCAGAAGTGATTCAACAAGGAAATATTTTCATCAGCATTGCAATAAGGAACAGTAAAACCACCAGCTTTTTCTGAAAACTCCCATTTTTGATGGAAGTTTTAATTGCTATGAAGAATTTTCAATGAAGAGGAACAACGAACGGGTTTAGTCCCTTGTAAATATAAACCATGTTTTACTCTTGCTCATATCCATCATTTCAAAGCTAGATTGAAAAAACAAACCTATTATTTTTGGACTGGTTTCCAAAATTGGGATGAATAGAGATGCCTGTGCCTGGGACACAGATAAAGGGCTTCTTGAGCAGTCCCTGCTCAAGGACCCCCAGCTCCCACCTCTCCTCCAGGTGTACAGACCCAAACATCGTGGGGGCTGTTGCTGACTGGAGCTGCCCTGAACCCAACCCAGCAGTGAGGTCCCCTCAGGGATGCTTTATTTAGGGACTGTGTCCCCCCATCCTGCTGAGGGGATGCTCCCCTGCTTTGCTAAGTCATCTCCACACTGGTCACCTGGGGAGCACTGGATTCTCTCCTGGGATGCTGGTGGTACTCGAAGCCTCTCTCCCTCCCACATTATTATCCCAGAGCATCAATCACTGTCTTATCACACACCCTCATGCAAATCCTCTCTGCTGGAAAAGCCATGCAAGCACCAGGTTTGTGGAGAGCACACCAGGCTCCTTGGGACTGAGGAGCCTGAGCTCATCCTGCTGCAGCAGATCCTTCTCCAAACTCTATCTTCTCCACACTTTCACAACCTCCACCCCTTTAATTTTTCATTTCTTTTACCACTGCCATGAATTCCAGTCTGGCTGCTCCACACGTGGACCCTGAGCCAGGGCAGCAACCAAGGAGCTGCCACAGTTTGGTGTTAGGCAGGTGATTTTCACATGGAGAACAGGGAACAGAACATCCCTGAAAGGCTCCAAGGCTCATCAAGGCAGAGCCATGGCACAGAACTGCCAGCACGTGGTACCTGCAAGCACCAAGACCAGACAGGGGACAGTGACTAGAGACCCCTCTGGCACCCACAGCCACGCTCCACAGGGCTTAAAATACTCCAAGGGAAGTCCCAGACTGATTTAATGAGTCTCTTCTGCAGCCTATTATTAGACCTCTGAAGTAAAAAATCAGTTTATGAATCAGACAGTTATACCGCAGGGTTTGACTTCCAGGGAAATTTAAGAGAGAAGCTCAATGTTCTCCTCGCCAACAAGTTTTCCTTTGTTCTTTTATGAACAGCCCCAAGCTCTGAACATCCTGGCACATCAAAGCCCAGGACCTGGTTCCAGTGAGGAGCCAGGATGCACAGACACACTTGCTGACACCGAGGCTCCCAAATCGATGCTCAGGCACGTAAGCAAAGCGACCCACTTTGAGGGATCAGGTACAAAGAGCATCCCTGAAGCTTGGCATCTCTGAAAGACTGAACAGTGACTGTCCCAACATAAGGGAATATTTTCCCAACAACAGCTCCTGCTAAGGCAGTAGCCAAGAGCAAGAAAAGCCAAGTGCAAGCCCAGCTCCTCACAGATCCCATGCTCCAGCCTGCCAGCCTGGGAAGTGCTTAAGCATTCATTTAAGGATAAGTAATCCTCTCAATTTCAACAGGATTAAACAACATTCTTAAAAGTAAGTCAATCCTTAAGTGTTTGCTAAACTGTGTCTCATTTTCCCTATAAAGCAGCTTCTTCTTTGCAGACAAACCCAGGAATAATTTCTGCCACTCCCAGCTCTCATGTTGGATCAGTCCAGGGGGGAATCCAGGCTGTTCCACACCCACACAGCAGCTGGCACCAGGGTCCCTGATCTCATCTGAGGATTTTCCTTGCTTCTGGAGTACCAGGACATACTAATACAACTAATACAGATATTCCAGGTGGTGAGGTCCTGGCACAGGTTGCCCAGAGAAGCTGAGAAGCTGTGGCTGCCTCATCCCTGGAAGTGTCCAAGGCCAGGTCAGACAGGGCTTGGAGCAACCTGGAAGGTGTCACAGCCTGTGGCAGGGGAGTGGAATGAGATGAACTTTAAGGTCCCTTCCAACCCAAATCATTCTGTGATTCTATGACACTAAGTGGAAATATAATTCCCTGGTTATTTATACCTCCCCTTTCTCTCATGGCAGCCTGGAAATGCAGACTCCTTGTTTCCCCAAGGCAGATGGTACAACCAAAAAAGATTTCCTGCTGTGGGTTATTGGTTCCTTTCAGATTTATGCTGATTATTTCATAAGCTCAGATCTCTGGCTGCTTAAAACTGAAAATCCAGTAGAACTGAGGCTGCTGCATCCTGGAAGGGATGAGCAGGGACACCTTCCACTAGCCCAGGTTGCTCCAAGCCCTGTCCAACCTGGCCTTGGACACTTCCAGGGATGGGGCAGCCACAGCTTCTCTGGGCAACCTGTGCCAGGGCCTCCCCACCATCACAGGGAAAAATTTCTTCCTAGTATCTAATCTAACCCTGCCCTCTGCCAGTTTAAAGCCATTCCCTCTTGTCCTGTCACTACATGCCCTTGTCAAAAGTCCCTCTCCAAGTCACTTGAACAGGCTGTTTGGAAAACTATACTGTTATCTGAGCATTTTGCTTCCAGGAGACCGAGGGCTGTGGGATTTAACAACAGATTATTATTATTATTACCTCTTCACCCATTTCTCAACGCAATTTCCTCCTAGAAAACTGCTTTCAGCACACAAAATTACCATAAAAGCTAAATATAAACATCCCACTGACAATAAGATGCCAGGAATATAAACAGGAATATAAAGGTGTGTAATGCAGGTGCTGCACAGACAGAATTTCTCTGCACGAGACCTGCAATGGGTTAGTGGGAAAATTCTGGTGGTTTTGCCATGACAAGTGAGGAATGCCAGGAATGTGAAGGGCATCCCAGTTTGCCTTTGTATTTTTAGACCTGAGCTAAATTCAACCACCCAGCTGATCATCTGCTGACCAGCGAGACCATCGCTGCAAATCAACAGCACCAGAAAGGGAGCACGAGGGTTGTGCACGTGATTCCAGAGGCTGAGCATCAGATTTAAAAAGGCACCAAGTTCTGCACTTCATGGGAACAGGAAAGAAAATAAAAATAAAACAAAATAATCAGGGCTCCTAGTGGGTTCCTCACATTCACCGGTCATTTTGGAAGAAACCTGACTAAAGAAATGAGGTTTTTGAAAAGAATAGGAAACCAAAAACCACCACACCACCACGATAAGAAATCCACTACTTTTCTTCTTTACTACCAACACTTTCTTTTAGGAATTACAGATTTTAAAATAAACTGAAGCCAAACAGAAAATAAATTATTGTGCTTACTGCTCTTCTACTTCCTTCAGCATTGTTTATTGCTGATGGTATCTCTGAGTATCTAGAAAACTCTAAAATAAACTTTCTCATATTTGAAAAAACAAACTGACCCAGCTGGACTGCAGAACAATTTGCATAGGAGGGACTTCCCAGCTCTTGGAACACCAGAGGTGTGCCTGAGAGTTGGAGTGAGCTGAGGGCTCCCAGCCAGGATGGAGCCCCAGCAAGGATGTGCATTCCCAGAACAAATGGGAGATTTGCTTCTAAGCAGGAGCTCTGCACAACAGTGATAATTCTGGACAGAGACCTCTCTGTGTCACCTCTGCACATCCCCTCTCCAGGGGAAGATGGTTTCACAGCCTGGAATTACATGGAGTAATCTTCTGGTTTACCCCTACACAGCAAACACTAAACCAGCCCTTTTCCCTGGACACAGTGCAGCCAGGGTTGCTGCAGCTTCCCATAGGTTTTGCTGGGAATTCCTTAAATTGACATCTCCTGATAGAACCTGGTACCTGAGAAGAGCATCACTCTCCATGGCTGTGGCAGGAGGAAATCAGACATGGTGGGATATTTTCTTGGGATGCCAAGGGAGGGCAGAGCCCCATTAAGGGGTCAAGTCAGTTGTATTTTCCTACATCCAGGATCTCTCAGCTGAACCTCATCCATCCAGCTGCCTGCTAAGGACAAGGACTATTAAATAATAATCCATTTGGACAACTGGTGTGAGCCTTTCCATTGCCTGCCTGAATTATTTTCCCTTCACCTGCCCAGGGATGCCACAGCTTCTCCTCCCATTCCCACTCATGCCAGGTGTGGTGGTTGCTGGCATGAAGCTTCTGGAGAGGTACCAGCTGAGTGGGTTTGGGCTGATACATATTTGATAAGGATTTCAAATCAAAGCCAGAGAAGTTTTCCTGTAATGGTGTGTCCAGAGTTCCCTCCTGGTATTTCACTACAGGGCCCACAAAAGAGATGGGGAAATCTATGATGGGAGTATAGTAAAGCCTCTTCACTTCTCCAGCAAATACCTATTCCAGGGATCCTGGACTGCCACTCCCATGTGATTTATTGAAATATCAATAGCTTGGGACACTGCTATGGAGCTGTAGATGAGCTTCAGAGCACCCAACAAAACACAGGAGAGGGAAGAACCAGAAACGTAAAACAAAACCCATTT